GTTGGTATGTATTTGAATTGCAAAGTCCGCCCCCAAGAATATCGTGGTTTTTCTTTTCTGCGTTATAGATTCATTTTCTAGTTCAGAAGAACTAGGGGTTCTTAAATTGTAAGGCTTATTGCTTATATTTCAGTCAGAGCGAAATTTTTTTTACCTAATAACGGAGAATATAAAATCTGTAATAAAATAGATGGCACTTGTAGTTAAATAGTACTAAAAGTTTTTAGAAAATTGTCACACCCTATCTAACATTTTTCAGAAACTTTATACTTGGTTTTAAAAAGTATAATAAATATTAGCCAAAGCCAATAGGTGGCCAGTTTTATTTTGCTTTTTAAATTCGCGCAAAGCTACACGAAGATTATTTCTGCTAGCCGTCCCTAATTTAGCAGTGAGAAATTAGAGAGAAGGCAGCTTAGTCATCACCACCCACCGCCAACTCTTGAGCTACTCTTTTACCAACGAAAAGTGGGATTGACCGTCACATTATAACGCCCCCACGGCTGAAAGGGCTAGCATGTTTGATGGGACGGGGATTCGAACCCGCTACCTACAGTTTGCGCGCTATAAGAGTAACGGTCAAATCCCCTATTCTATCAAAAAAGAGGAATGTAATAGTTGGTCGTGGGTGCTGTTGACCAACAGCCTTCTCTCCAGTCTATCAGTTCAAATTATGAATGGCTACGCGGAGATAGTCCTTTGTGGAGCAAACAATTTGATAAAAAACACCTTAGGTGTGAAAAAAAGGTGCGGCTAATAAAGAATTGAGTATTCGACTTAAGGACATGAAATCAAAAATGAAATGAATATTTGCTGTAAAATTTTTATCAATGCTATAAGTGTAGCTACCAGTTTGGCCACCAGTTTTGATTTCATTCCTTTAAGTCACACTCTCAATCGTTTTTTCGACGCACCTTTTTTTTTCACTCCTAAGGTGTTTTTGATTTAGATATCATTACTTTTGTCAATACACACTACCAAATCACAGCAATTAAGAAAAAGTGACACTCGATAGTAACCAACATTAGTCTTAGGATCGCAACTCTATTATCCGGGACAGACCTTTACTTTACAGAACCAACCAGATTCTTTAAAATATATGGTTGTAGTTTTCCTTTGTAAAACAGTGTTAATATCTTTCTTTATAGTAACGCCATGGAATTTAGATGAACAGTTTCTTGTCATCAACCCTATGTAATCGGTACAGCCATACCAAGCATCATTATTTATGGTAATAGTTTAAGCTAATATCATGTGATGCTAAACGCTCTTTAATTAGGATAATTTCATAAAATTTAGTAAATATGTGCTGAAATTTTGGCAATGAATCATCAATAATAACTGTCCACCCGTATAATTCTTTTGAAAACTTGAGTTAAAACTGCTAATCTAGTTTGCTTGGCATAACCTTATGTATCTGCACGTCCTTTCACTTTATAGTTTTGCTGCTCTAAATCAGCTGTCTTTAATCCGAATGACAAAAAACTACAAAAAGTCCAGTTTTGCTCTTAGGTGAAGCTGTAGTAAAAATTTTATACCGATAGCTCACGTGACTTTTTGCTTAGGCGTGCGCAAAAAAATTCGTCAAATTTGAGCGGTTTTTGTTGAATAACTTTGCACATGTGGATTATATTTACACCAAATGAGGCTCCTAATTGTAGGTTGTAAAGATGTATCAGTGTACCAAATTTGAAAAAAAAATCCACAAAAGTTAAGTATGTTTTTCTTTCAAATAAAGTTTCCCTACTTTTGGTGCGAAGAAAGAAATAAAAATAGGAAGAAACTCAATCAAAATTGGAGATGTTATATGTCAGGCATTTCTTAATGGATTGCCTTGAAATTTGGTATGTGAAGTAAGAGTGCAGTGCAGCACATACACTTAAAATATGTGATAGTTTGGATTATTACAGTTCGAGATATAGAAGGTGGAAAATCGTTAAATTATCATTCCTGTTGATAACACACAGTGTGTCTTGCAGTAGGTTGTTTTGGCTGCACGACACACCACTGTGTGTCTTGGTCAAAATTATGTCTTAATTTTGCAGCTAGGGCTACTCTGTAAACTTAGGCAAAGTTACTCAAGGACTATCTGGTACAATTTAGAAGTGATAGAGTAGCACAACTCATAGGTCAACGAATATTGGGATTAACTTTCACTTTATAACACCTCCACGGTTAAAAGAACTACTATGTTAAGTGATGGAGATTCGAACCTCCAGATTGCGAGTCAATCGCCCAAGCCACCACGCCATGTTAAGCCAACGAGAATGTTTCTACTGGTATATACATTTAACATACTAATCGACAAACTTCAAGTCCATATTTCAACTCCACGTTCTTTAGGAACACAGGTGCTTGTAGTTACAAGTAACGTGTCAGAAATATCATAATGTTAGGAATTTCCTTCAAAATCGGATCCTCTAAGCTTCAAGTGAACACGCTGTTTTTGACAGCTATCAATCAAAACATTGTAAATAAGCGTATTTTCTGTTACATCTTCATAGTTAAAATTAAAAAATGCATGGCTGAAAGAAGAACCATTGCTTGTTATATTCCTAACAAAAATATTTCTAAAATTCCAATTTTTCTATGATTTTGCTTATTGTAACTTTTGCAATTAAAGCTACCACAAGGTGGCTAACATTTTTATATTATCATTGCTAAGCACATGATTACACAATGGGTTATTTGTGCTCTGGCCACCACGGGTATCGAAACCCGTAATCTACAGACCTGCCGCTGGGAGGGGGCGATAACTAATATGTTAGAATACTTTGTACAAGAGTATTTCGTTTATACATAAAACCCGAATAAAAATATATTAATTTACAAATTCCTGAGATCACAGTGGCACAGCGGGATGTCTGCAGACTTACAACGTTAAAAACCGGGTTTCGATACCCGTGGTGGGCAGAAAATAGATAGCCCATTTTGTAGCTTTGTGGTTAACCTCAAAACAAACAACTTCCTGATCGTAACGTAGAAAGATTCACTTTTTAAAACAAAATAAGAAAATACTTATTTAATGTTTTCAAAAATGTTTTTCAAAGATGCTCGCCCTTTCAGTCGAGGGGACATTATAAAGTGAAGGTCAATCCCACTATTCGTTGGTGGAAGAGTAGTCCAAGAGTTGGCGGTGGGTTGTGATGACTAGCTGCATTCTCTTTAGTCTTTCACTGCTAAATTAGTTGTGTGTGAATAAAGCATATTAATTAAACTTATTAATACTCAAGTTTAATATAACTCAAACTTATTACTGCTATTCAACATTCATAATGTAAGATCAAAACATACATTGTTGTTCAACACTCTAAAGGTAAACTTCTAGGTTACATTCTACTTACACCCACAATATAAGATCTAAAAATACTTACATTGTCGTTCAACACTCTAAAGGTAAACTTCTAGGTTACATTCTACTTACACCCACAATATAAGATCTAAAAATACTTACATTGTCGTTCAACACAACAAAGGTAAACTTCTAGGCTACGTTTTACTTACACCCACAATATAAGATCTAAAAATACTTACATTGTCGTTCAACACTCTAAAGGTAGACTTCTAGGTTACATTCTACTTACACCCACAATATAAGATCTAAAAATACTTACATTGTCGTTCAACACAACAAAGGTAAACTTCTAGGCTACGTTTTACTTACACCCACAATATAAGATCTAAAAATACTTACATTGTCGTTCAACACTCTAAAGGTAAACTTCTAGGTTATATTCTACTTACATCCACAATATAAGATCTAAAAATACTTACATTGTCATTCAACACTCTAAAGGTAGACTTCTAGGTTACATTCTACTTACACCCACAATATAAGATCTAAAAATATTCACATTGTCGTTCAACACAACAAAGGTAAACTTCTAGACTACGTTTTACTTACATCCACAAATATATGATCTAAAAATACTCATATTGTTGTTCAACACAACAAAGGTAAACTTCTAGGCTACGTTCTCCTTACTTCCACAATATAAGATCTAAAAATACTTACATTTTTCTCCTAAAGAATAAAGGTAAACTTCTATGTTTTAGGGACACTACACTTTAAAAATGCAGGGGTGGTCAGTGTAGTTAATATGTCACAGCTATTAGGAGTTACTATCATACTCATCACGCTTCAAAAACCTGTTTAGTGAAAGTTATTTCATTGTGATAACACAGAAAAGTTTTTTTTACAATCATGTAAGCATGATTAAACAAACAATTTGTGTTAATTTATGTTAAATGCTTTAGGAACAAAATTAGCGAAGAAGATCTGAAAAGTATTTGATAAATTTAAAAAAATCAGCTCTTTTTTATGTTTGTTAACATATGTTTACAATGTAATAAGTTTGTAGACAAATTACTGATAATTGTTAATTGTGGAGTCTACAAAATGTACAAAGTGTTTTTTATGGTGTTTGTTTTTCATACATTCACAGATAACTCAGAGAAAAGTGATGTTTCAAGTGTTAGTTCTGTTTATGAGTTCACAGTTGAGTCACGGAAAATTATTGTTTTTGTTTAAAGTTTTCAAAGTAGATGGTTACTTTGTGTTCAGTTTAGGGTTTACTGTTTAATATTAATGTTTTTAACGTACATGGTTTCTTCGTGTTCATGTTAGTGTTTAACGGTGTTAGTTATATTAAATTTTTCAACTGTACATATTTACTCCGAGTTCAGTTCAATGTTTTATGGTTGACATTAAAAGTGCAGCAATTTCCCAGTGTAATGAAATATTTTATAACATACGTTAGTTTACACTTTTGTATTTAGTTTAAAACATTTAATAATATGAGCACTGTTCATGTGAAAACGTGAGATGTCGAGAACTGTCGGTTTGACGACGATTTATTTCCATGTTTTGTGGGCGAGTTTTCTAATTGGTTCAACAAAGTCAGTGATATATTTATTTTTTATAAGACTGTGTGATTGGTTAGAGGGCCCGAAACTATGTATTAGAAAATACGCTAGGGGCGCTTGAGTTATTGTCAATCACGAGGTCGAGTACAAACGGAGAGTTGCGAGTTCAGCCCATTAACCATGTCTGCTGTTTCTTTCAGCAAGAAGAATCGAAACCAGGTCGTTAGAGTTTAGCCGTAGTTTGTGTTCAAGCTACAGTAATTGTTTCTTTTACGGGCTGTTGGCTAAGAACTGGACAACGAGGCGAGTTGATAGTCATGACCATTGAAGTCCGCACGCCTACTGAGCATATGTCCGCCGGAGAAAGAAATAACGAAAACGGCATGTGCCCTCACGATCGTCGATCTTCCATGGAGAGTCCTAAACAGTCGTCATTTCTCATCCGAGATATTCTGAGCGAAACGTCCGACACGAGATATGGTTTGGTTCAGAAAGAACACGAGAAGAATGATATTTCAACAGATTTATCCGACTTTAGTGAATGTAAGCCTGACTTAACTCAAGAAATAATGGCAGACAGTCGTGTTAAGCCTAATTACCCTCTAGTTGATTATGACGAAAACCGTGGAGGGAACACGGGAACCGATGAAGAAGATATAGTGACAGGTTAGTAGCCAATATAGGAACTGTACTGTAGTGTAAATTGTCGATGAACAATTCTGATAATTTAAATATTACATCTCAAAGTTGGTTTTTAATGAAATATTACAAAGATTTATATTTACCTTCCCAGTTTGTTTATACAAAATGACTTAAATATATTAACATATTTTAATCTTTCAACAAACGTAAGTCAACGTTTTCGCTGTATTGTTTTGAAGTTTAGGCCTAAATTTGTCTCTTAAAAACCTAAAATGGCTGATAATTTAACTAAGGAGGTTAGGTTTGTTGAAAAAGAGCATTTTTTAGATTATATTATAAAAAGTAATATGTAAGTATGGTCAGTTTACAGATTTGTGATATTGGCAAAAATAAAGAGTGTGAATATTGTCATACTACTCATAGTCATAGTGAAAATATTTTAACGCATGCTTAGCTGAACAATCTACGAGTAATCGATGTAATTTTGATATTTTGTCTTTAAAATATCCTGTTTCCATAAAAGCATGTTGTATAATAAGAAGCGTCTTTTCTGTTGGAGTTTGAGAGGACACAAAGGGGGTGAGCAAACAATGGCTTGTCCAGGATTGGCGCAACTATCTTCCTTAAAGCAACATTGTCACACTTTTTAGTTTTTATATATTTCATACATTACTAACCGTGTGTGGCACATATTATTATGTAATATAAAACTTAATTAATGTAAACTATGCGAACTGTAAGAGCGGTATGTAATGAACGTTTTCTATATTAAATTAGCAGTTGTAATGTTGATGTTTGGCCTAAGTATTGTTTCATTTCCAAAGCCTGCATCCTGAATAAGTTAAATAGAAATTAAAATGGTATATGTCTGCCAAGTATAGCGCAAGGGAACTTTTCGAATTAAATGAAAAAGTTTTTGATTTTGTTTCTGTTATTTTGGAATCAGTGGGTGAAATAGGTAGGTATACATGGTCATGAGACGTGGGTAGCATCTTCGTTGCGTTGATAACTTATACGATAGTTATGATCACTTGATCTCCTTTCAGTAAATTGAGTGAAAGATATTTAACCTTCACATTACGACATTATTTATGATTCAGTACCGACTGGGTCCGTATATTATATCATACTGAGTAATGTTTATGTTTTGGTCTGTTACAACACCCGATGTTTTGTTTCTTTGCTTGAAAATAAGCACAAAGCTATACTATGGACTGTCTGTGCTCTGCCCACCACGGGTATCGAAACCCGGTTTCTAACATTGTAAGTTCGCAGACATGTCCCTGGGAGCAACACACGATCTAAAGAACTGGTAACAAAAATTGAGTAAATTTCTTATTTTCTACATAAAATGCATATGAATCCTCAACAGTAATTTGTGGGACGAGTGTTAATATTATTGGAATCTGTGTTTAATGGTTTTATACGACTCGTAGAGTATTATGTACTCCGTAAATAACAAAATCATTGACCCACGAGCAATTTGATACATAAACAGTTTAGAAAAATGTGTTTAAAAATCCGATGGGCTCATAGAACCCACCGGTAATTCTAGAGTTAGGCTAAGGGTTAGGATAAAATGAAAAGATGGTCGAGATAAAATGGGGGGGATTAGTTATTAATGAATGATGCGTTGAAGCTCGAGTTCCCGGGCGTTAATTTCAACGGAAAAAACCGGAAACATTTTGGAGCGAGACTTCATTGTACTTCCAGATTAGTTATGTATTACCGCAGATGGTTTTTTGTGAGCTTGTTGGTTTTGAATTAAAGCAGCTATCGGGGCCGGATTAAGCTCTCTGGGGAGTGGGAGATAAGATAGTGCAAGAGCCTCAATATGTGTAGGTCTATATGTATTTGTATTTTGAACAATCCATAATAGACAAACAAAAACAATGCAGCAAAAGCACAAAATATTTATTCATATACAATATATATATATATATTTATTTATTTAAGAGAACAACTTTATAACAAAGTACAATAGGTAGACATTATTTATTGATTAATTGTTTTCGGAAATTAGCTAAATAAACTTCCCAAGAAACTCAGCTAGACGTCATAAGCTTGTCGACTGCCCGTCTGATCTGTGTATTTTTAGATAGTAATTTGAAACTGGTCTATTCAGGAACGAATCACAAAACGGAAATTGTGAACAGTAATCATGGTTATTGACTACTAGAAGAGTTTTTGCTGACTCTTTGGGATGGGGAAGGAGCTACTTTTGGGGGAGCCCCAACTTATAACTTGGTTAGATTGTCCGCTAATCCGACCCTTAAACATTGTAATACGTAGGCCTACTTCCTCATAAAAACTACATATTTTTCTGTAGTGTTCAGTTGTATCAACTAGCATGTATTTATTTATTTGCTAAGATCTAATAACTCCTAATCTGGCTTACTTCAAGTGGAAACGTGCCACTTTCAACAGTACACAAAACACAATGCCTACTGAGACGTACAAAGAAGGTGAAAAATTCATAGGGTTAATATAGATTTTCGTTTTCTTTTTTCTCGGTATTTCCATATATACTTCGATCTTATAGCTCCAATCAAACTGTATTTTTGTTTTGCTCTCACGTTATAAATAAACACATAACTTTATTTATTGGACGAAATATTTGGCGCTTTATGTCCATGCCATAATTATCAGTCTTCTTTGTGATACTGTTCTTACACTGGTTCCAGCTTCAGACAATAAGATTTCAGGCGGGAATTCTACGTCTCTCATAAATCATCACTTATATGTTACCAAAATCACATTCTCAGAGAGAGATCGTTATTAGAATTCAGATAGCCAACGGCTAAATATCAACTGAGCTTACCGATAGTGTGACACAAATTTCTGGCCTGGTTACCTATAACGACAGGTCACAACATAAATCAGTCTGCAATTACGTGCCACTTGGTAAATGGTCAAGCTCCATTCAACTACTTATTGGATCTGTATATTTAGTACGTTGTGGAGTACACTTTGTAGCTGCAGTTTATCATTCTTGGTTCTAAGTACTTGCTGGGCTCCATCTGAGTGCGGGTCAGTGAATGGTCATTTTACTTCTAGCCGTCTGAAAAGTTTTACAACTTAATAGTTGTGACCCACTCGACTCGGGTTGGATGTGCACCTAGAGAAAACCACTTCCTTATAGGTCTGTGGTCGATGTAATATCTTTTGCTTTAGACCGCTGGTAACTTGATGTTACATATATATGTCAGCCATGTTTCAAATTAAGCACAGGTGTGTTCGTCCTCCAAGAATTGTTGAAAACCTAACTCCTCAGCCATGTATGGACTCATTTCTCAGTACTAACTTCTGATCAAAGCAAGCTACCAGCCGTGTGTATGTTCTTATTGTTCTATTCACACTCCAAGCATTGTTGAAACTGTACAAGTCCCCAGTCGTATATATATATGTCATTATTTTGTCATGTTCGCACTCAAAGCATTGTTGAAACTGTACAAGTCCCCAGTCGTATATATATATGTCATTATTTTGTCATGTTCGCACTCAAAGCATTGTTGAAACTGTACAAGTCCCCAGTTATATGTACATACCTTCTCCACTTTATGTCCCTTCTTACTCCAAGCTTTATTAAAACTTTATAATCTCCCAGACATCCATGTTATTATATAGTTCTCTTCGTACATTTAACCTTGATGAAACTGTGTTATGTGTATACTTGTTTTCCCTTCAAATTGCAAATTTTGTACACCCCGTATATAGTTACAGAATTATACATGTTCGCTTGTTGTCCTTTCACAGTCTAAGCCTTCTTTATACCGAACAGTTACTGAATCACTTATTATATGTATGGTGGTTTTAATCACCACAATGAATCTATATTGATATAGAATTTAAATAATATGTACCATTTATGCTAGTAGTTTATTCTTCTGAATTATTCAATAGACAAGCTGTTTGAAATACGAGAAATAAATAAGAAACCCAAAGTTACTGATGAGGAGTGGGATTTACCGAAGACGGTAGAAGTCAGTAACAAAAGTTGTTATATTTTAGCCTTTCACTTTCTGTGCTTTCATACTTTATGCCTTTTCCGACTATACATGTAGAAAGCCACGCATGCTCAGTTGTCTCTTCTAAGTGTAAGCCTTTTAGAAACTGTATAATTGCAAAAATCATGCAAATTCACGTATTTTCCTTTCAGAGTCAAAGAAATTCACGCTCAGTCCTTGTTGCTTTATTTGCGTGTTGTTTATACTGGACGGTTTGGCATTATAAGAACTCCTGAGTTATTTATTGATAAATCCTTGTTTGTTGTTCCACTGGAGTTGCTATCATGACATATCGTCGGAGGGTGAAAAATTCAATGTTATAAAAGGTTAGAAAAAAGGACACCAATTGTGAATTATGAGTGGGGTATATAGTTCCCACATTTTCATAGTTTTGGTAACAGTTGGTGTTTTGGATAATTTCTCACTTTATAATTTAGTTATATTTATAATTCAAAATAAAATATTTATGACAGGTTTTTTTCATCTCTGTTTTTTTAGCCAACTAATTATTGTAAATTGGATTAAGTGTTGTGTTTTAGATAACATTGGTTTCAGAATTACTCTACCGGAGCTTCCAGCTCTCGTGACAGTAGGCTCTGTTCTGCTTGTTGTACAGCCAATTTTGTTGTAATTTAACCGGTCAGTAGAACCAGCTGTGTATAGGGCTGAGTTAACATGGCCAGGCTACCTACCACCTGTTCGCTCCCAGTCGCGCGTCGTTGCACGAGTCACTGACAGTAAAAACTTTTAGATCAATAACAGTCAATCGAGAAACAATTTTCTTTAAATTTCGCTAATATTCGGCCCCTTGTGCGGAGCTTATTATCACTGATACGTTAACTGTACCACGCAAGTGCCTCCCCCCCGTTCTCCCACACTGATTGATTCTTCAATCAGAAACATTAACAGCTTCCTTAGCAAGTTATATTAATTATAACACTAGAGTGAGAGCGTGTACGAAGTTCAAATGTTTAAGCAGTACATGAACCGATTTGGATTTGCGATAAATAATTCGCT